CTTGATTTCGCACTGAATAAAATCAATTCTAACTCTTATTATATTCATTTATCAAAATCTAACTCTTTAACGTCAACACTTTACTCTGAAATGCTTCAACACCGAGAATTCAACTCAGATGAATTTGCTGTGTAGAATGACCAAAACAACATTTCAGATGTTTTACAATGTGGTTCATCATAATGGCATTAATTAATTCGCACCAATTTTTTATCATAATCTGTAAATTTAAAATCACATGACTTTTTTTATGTGCATGCTGGCATTTATTCAGGATGCGTGTTTCCATCATAGTGTATATGCATCTTTTTCTTATTAGATAAAATCTTTATTCTACTCCGTTATGCTCATTATCCGCTTGTTAAGTGTGACGTCACGCGAAGCGGCTTCCGGGTTTAAGCGCTCTATTCAACTGAATGGGGAGACTCATGAAATGGTAATAATAAACGTTTACAAAGGGATTTAATACTTTCGAAAATCACGATCGCAATATATATGTCCATGCCTAGTATCCTATGTGTAATAGGAATAAAACGTGATCATAAACTAATGATTTCTCCACTCAAATGAATGGCGGCTTGGACCCGGAAACAGTATTACATATGTGACCACTTAACAAGCAGAGTAAAATGTATGTGCATCTTGGCGTTTCCATTTCCAGTTAACCATTTTTCTGTGCAATATTTTAAAATGCACGTGAATATAGGTGGATGTAAACATAGCTAAAGTCTACTTCAGCTGTAGCTGGGGTCTGGAAGAGTTTTGTTCGTGTTGCCTATTATGCTTGACGAGGATTGGATTGGCTCATTAAATGCTGTTTGCATCACTGCGGAGGAGCTGAAATTCAGAAATTATAATAGCCTTTTGATTTAGACCAATCACAACAGACAGGGTCATCTGACCAATCAAAGCAGAGTAGGTGGAGCTTAAAAATTACCTTTAAACAAACTATTTCAGACACTGAGAAAAAACAGCTGTTCCTGCAATATACAATATGAAAATGAAGCCCTATTTTAGGTAAACAAAGCGAGAAAAATAGCTAGATACTGGACTCATTACCCAGTTCATAGTTGTCATCCAAGTCCCTTTAAGGCAAGTTGTTTCACAGTCGGCAGAACTAGAAGGTGGGGCTTCATTCGTCATATAGGGGAATTACTAACCGACGTCACACAAGTTCAACCGCACATACATGCTGGACTCTGCAGTTCTCATGTTATATCAGGTAAGTTCACGCTATGCTGAATCATACATGTTACTCGTTTTTGACTGCAGCCATGATTTTAGCAAAAACAGTTAAATATGATGAATTAAACTGCAGACGCTGAATGCTTAGAATAAAATGTGAAAATGTAAGTTCACATACCCTGCCGTACAGGTGTAACTTGCTGTCAGAATGCAGTAGTTTTGCTCGTTGATGATTACCCAGGCCTTGTACTGTTCCGTCTTCTTTCCTTGTCTTTGGCTAGACAGAGCCTCGGTTTTTAGCACTACATAGTGTTGAATCTGGTAATCATGGAACATTAATTTTTGCACGTGACCACACAGAAGAACATTGTTGGCATCCAAAGACTTGTAGGCCTTTAACTTCTCTCTTGTAAAAACAAGTTTCAATGAGAGATAATTGTATATTTCGGGCCACTGGACGCTTGGCCATTTCATCTCATCCAATATCCAATGGAAGGATGCTATCGCAAATGGACCTGTCAGATGAACGCCACTCACTTTAATGTAAATTTTGCAGATTAACTGTGTTTATCAATGGGTGACAAGCTGTTATAATACGTTGAAACCATTATGTAAATAATATACATATGTAATCATTATAACTTATTTCTAAAACAGCAACAAACTCTGTACCGCATCGGATGTGATTCCTTTGCTGTAAATGCTAGTGTTCCTGATTTTGTTCAGCAGCCGCGATATGCGCACATCCTGAATGTTTACAACCCGGTAATTCGTCTATAGACGTTACACTTTTCCCTGTTCAAAACATTAGGAGTGACACATTTCGTGTATTATATAGACTTTGTTGTTATACACATTACATGCTGATTACCTGCCCGTTTGTCTTTCAGGCCTGATCCAGATGAGCCAGCAGATCAGCTAAATGACTCTACAGAGGCGGATCCCACAGCGGACACAGATGTAAAAGAGGACAGCAGAGAGCAGGACGAGCAGATGTCGTCTGAGAGCTAACTGCGCTCGCCTCCTTTTATGCTCACAAACACACCTTGGCTTCCTTCATTCATCTGTGTTACTTTTTGTCTGCCCACCTTTGTGACTTACATGAGTTTTTCTTCGTGTTGTACATAAAACGTGACATGAACATTTATTAGCACTTTTGAATCGAGGCGTCACGAGGCAAACAAGCGCCTTAACCTAAATGTTCCACGCGGAGGATTCTGATGATCGAGCGGGAACGTTTTATTTCAGAACCACACTGACGTCTATAACAAAAAAAAAACAAACAAACAAACAGAAAAACACCGAAGCCCAAATGTATTTGGAGACTGTGCTTGTACTACGTAGCCGCTTTTTATGAGTCAAACTTTTTTCCTTTTGTTTTATATGAAAAAAGGAAAAAGAAAAAAATCTGCTTTTGTGTTCATCGACTCCCATTCAGCAAGAAATCATGAAGTATCATCATCATCATTCTTATTAGTGCACAAATCTGCATCTGATCTGTCTGGTATGGATTTCAGTAACTCCTGTCTATAGACTTTTACTAAATTCTGTAGACTTATTGACCGTTTGTTGTTGGTTGTTCAGTCTTCAGATTATGGCAACTTACATCTGCATAGGTTGACCCGATTAATGCCGTTTTGTTTTTCTTGGATGTCATAAAACACACTTATCATGCTTAATATGAACATGTTTCTAGTGCTATGTAACTTGGTCCAAACTTCTTCTTTTTTTTTAGTATCCGTAAAAGGATTAAATAAAAAAAAATCCGCATGATGGACACAATTTTGAATGTTTTTGTAGAAGAACCATTTATTCAAAATAAAATACTAGTATAGTGGTATACTATGAAATGTGTTATGATATTCTTTGTTATTACTTGTAAATAATAGATATATTTGTAGAATGTTGGTAATTTATTATATAGGAATTATGTTATATAAATCAGCAGCTCGGACGAAGCATTGGCGCAGTAGGTTGTGCTGTCGCCTCACAGCAAGAAGGTTGCTGGTTCGAGCCTCGGCTCAGTTGGCGTTTCTGTGTGGAGTTAGCATGTTCTGCCTGCGTTCGCGTGGGTTTCCTCCGTGTGCTCTGGTTTGCCCCACAGTCCAAAGACCTGTGGTACAGGTGAATTGGGTAGGCTAAATTGTCCGTAGTGTATGAGTGTGTGTGTTTGGATGTTTCCCAGAGATGGTTTGTGGCTGGAAGGGCATCCGCTGTGTAAAAACTTGCTGGATAAGTTGGCGGCTCATTTCGCTGTGGTGACCCCGGATTAATAAAGGGGCTCAGTGGAAGGAAAGTTATTGAATGTGAGTGGTGTAGGTGGCTTTGTTGGTTTTAGTAGATTATTTTAATAACTTTTATTACTTATAAAAATAAATTGTTATAGAATATAAAGAGATAGAATATAATTTTGCTGAATAGAAAATTATTTTGACTAATTACAGCTGGCTGAGCCATCTGACCAGTCAGAGCAGAGTAGGAGGAGTTTAAAGATGCATTTTCAACTAACCCAGGGGTGTCCAAACTCTGTCCTGGAGGGCCGGGATCCTGCATAGTTTAGCTCTAACTTCCTTCAACACATCTCCCTGAAAATTTTTAATACACTTAGAAAGAGGTTGATTAGCTAGTTTAGGTTTGTTTAATCTGGGTTGGAACTTAAATATGCAGGAAACTGGCCAACCAGGACCGAGTTTGGACAACCCTGGACTAACCCATGGGTCTCAAACTTAATTCCTGGAGGGCCGCAGATCTGCACAGTTTTGCTATTAAGCAGGTGTGATTTGGAGGTGGTTAGAACTAAAATCTGCAGAGCTGTGGCCCTCCAGGAATTGAGTTTGAGACCACTGATCAGAAACTGTTAGGATAAAGGCTGACGCTGCAAGAATGTTATGAGAAAACATTTTTATATTTAATTTTAAATTTTGTTACATCTGTGGATGGATGTAAACTCATTGGCGGAGACTTTCAAAACAAAATTATTAAAACAATAACATGAATTAATAAATCATAAGTCTTATTTTTTTATTGCAAAATAACAGCATTAAATATCAGCATTAATTACAGAAAAAAAATAGTCAAAACTGCTAAGCCTAAACTCTGATTCAACTAGTAAGCTTTAAACCGATTGAACATTGTTTATGGTTTATTACAAACAAAGCAAAAGAGTAGTCGATTAGTTAAACAATGGGGGAAAATATCAGTGGTTTTGCTACACTAATCATAGTGTAATCATGGTATTTGTTGAAACTGGTTCTTCAAATTGTATTTATACATTGTTACATGATTAAAACCATAGCTAATTTTGTTAAAGGGATAGTTAACCCAAACATGAAAATTGATTCACTATTTATTCACCCTCAAGTAGTTCCAAACCTTTATGAATTTCTTCTGTTAAATAACACTAAAGATATTTTAAAGAAAACTGAAAACATGTAAGCATTGTAATCCATGGAAGTAAAAACAAATATGCCTACAGAGGAATTCCCTTTTTTTTTTACAGGTTTCCAACTTTCTTCAAAATATCTTTTTTTGTGTTCGACAGAAGAAACACACTCATCAAGGTTTAAAACCAGTAAATGATGGCATAAATCTCGTTTCTGTCTGAACTGTCCCTTTAAATGTATTTAAATTTGACAACAATTTTACACAACATGAAATTTAGTTATGACTTATAAAATATATCAGTGAGACAATTAAACTCGCTCTCCACGGTACCAAGACATGTCAAAATCCTAAATCTCAACAAGCGTCGCGTTTGGAAGCGTCCAGTGCGTCGCGTCGCGCGCTCGAGTGTGGATGGGTTTGTCAGTCAGGTGATCATTCCGCCATTTTGTCAGCCATTTCCTAGACGGGTCCGCTGCAGATCAGCACTTACAGAAAGAGCGAAACCCCTCCTGCACAGGCCGCTGTTCGGGACTGAATGAGAGACTAGAGCTCCAGCGGGCCGGTCAGCACTCAGATATAGCCCGTGTTCGCGGTTCGGTCCGGTCGGACAGGAGGGAAATCATCATGGCTCTGAAGATCGTGAAGGGAAGCATCGATCGGATGTTCGATAAAAACCTGCAGGATTTAGTACGTGGCATTAGGAACCATAAGGAAGATGAGGTGAGACACTTTTAAATGTTTAAGTCCTGTTGTGTGGCAAACAGCAGAATAGGATTTGATTGTAAAAATGTACAAAATTCACCTAGTATGAATGAATCGAGCTGATCTCGTGTCAGTGATCTTAAATCACCTGATTTCAGGTGAGCTAACTGGTTTTATCCTGATAAATGCGTTTAGATGGTAAACTGTTGTGTTTTCAGCGTAGTAAATGAACATTTCCGCGATCTGTGAGGTTGCTGACAGCTGTTAGTGATGTTAGAACAGTCTGTCATCGTTTTGTTTATCATGGATGAGGCCAGTTAGCATTGCTAACGGTTTAGACTCTTATATAAACACATTCTGCAGAATGAATACACCTTTTTTCATCTGATGTTTCATACGAAACGTGTAATTGTACACTTTATGACATAATTTTAGCGCAGCGAATATGTTTAATTTAATATAACAGCTCGGCTCAGTTAACGTTATGTGTGTCATGAGATTGGCCGTGTCTCAACGCATAGTGAGCCACCTATCTAGACAACTTGTTTTCAGCATCATAGGCGTGTCCTAATACCGTTCCGAACGCATACGATGCCTGTGATGTTCCAACATCAAATCTAGGTATGATTTTCTGACGGTATGATAACCTTAGATAAAGACATCATGGTATTATGTGATTACTCATCTAAAATGATTTCTTTTTTAATGTCAGGCTAAAAAAAAAAATCCCCAATTGAACACAATATATTTTATTTTAGAAAACATGTATATTATTTTGGAACATTAAACATGTCAGGCTAAATAATAAAAATGAATAATTGACCTCTGCTCTCTTTATTGTTTCATAAACTGATTTTTTTAAAAAACATAAACGCATTTAAAAACGTCTTACATATATCTTAGGAATGGTTTAACAGAACATTTTAGTGGTTTTAAAACCTTTACTCCAAACTGCGGTAAACCTTGAAACCAGTTATTGTGTCTTGCCTAATCACATCACATGATGTGACATTCAGAAATGTTCAATTCGAGTGTTCGATGTTCGATCTATGATACCGATAAATGTCAAATTCAAACATGAATGAAACTTTGATAGGCAAATAGATTAGCTCAAATGTTTGAAAAGTAAATGCAATAAAATAATAATAAATAAAAATAAACTAAATGTTTCATTTAGATATTCAGATTTGTGTACAAATGTTTGACCACACAAATGTACTTGTAATGTTGATCAATAGTAAAAAATACAAGGTTCAATTTGAACAATCAAATTTGCTAATACTGCGGACTAATTTTTGATTATTTGATTGTGATGCCACTTTATATTTAAAAATGTAAGTTTAATGACAGCTAAACGTTTCAGTTTGCGTGGTCAAACATTAATAAGGTACACCAAATGCTTAACTTCTTAATTAAATGTAGTAATTCCCAAAATGTTCCAACAAGTACGTGACTCACAAAGATGTTTAAATAAAATAATTCTCAAAACTGTTCCGTTTCAACATTAAATTCTCATTTATTGCAGTCTGATATTTCGAAAATACATTTTATACCTGTAAAATGTTAAATTCAAAACAAAATGCACAGATTTTAAAATTGTATCGTTGACTATAGTTGTAATTTTTGCCTAAATAGAAATGCGTAAATCCCCATACTTCAGTTTCTCATCAAATCTTTTGACCAATCAAATGTTCTCTAGTATCTGACATCTCCCGCCCCCTTTAAGACGATTCTCATTTGCTTTTTATTTGATGCGCATTAGCTCAACCACTCTCATTGGGAGAGCTGTGATAAAAACAAAATGTTATTGGCTTTTTTTAAAAAATGGGTGGAGCCAATTTATGTCCCGCCCTGTTTTTATGTTTCAGTTAAAATTCCGTCATACATCAGACAAAAAGTGCACATTTGAAAGCGTCTCATGACAAGCGACCTTTATGTCCTAATGTCCTTAAATGTCCTAATATGTTCAATTCAGATGTCTCCGTACCACCCAATAATGTTGTCGATGTGGGGAACTTGTTAGGAATGAGACACAGCCGTTGTGTAGTCTCTGAAATCACACCTGTCAGTTTGACCACAGCATCAGGGAAGAGAATCGCTGCTTTCTTGTAATTCGTTTAGTGATCTATGGTTTAAAAAAACAAGAAGAAGAGTGGGCCGCAGCCTGCTAATAATGACAAGGCTGAATTTTCTCTGGCATTAATACACTTTAAGAAAAAAAAGGAACAAGGTGCTGTGAGTGACATGACAGCGAGCATTTATATTTACAACCAGCGTTTACTCACTTTTACTTCAATATGGATCATAATCTCATCCCTTTTTGGGAGACTCAGAATTATTGATTTTAGTCAGCAGTTTGGCCTTCTAGCAGACAGCAGGTCAGTGATTTACGTGTTATGAAATGGTAGAGACGGATGTCATGTGTTTCTGATGTTTCTTAGCTGCTGCTTGCATGAATTCAACCTTTTCAGATGAGCAGTATTGTCCAATGTGCCATTTAGTCTGGGAAAAATTATAAATTTGTTATTGTGGACACTTCTGTAAAAAAGCTGAGTTGTCACCTCTGTAGAAGTTTGGATATTTAATCATTCATGACATGTTCATTTCTCGTGTTTGTGCATTTTCCTTGCCTTTGTTTTTTTATTTATTTGTTTATTTATTGTTTTTGGCAGGGGCAGCATGGTGGCTCAGTGGTTAGCACTGTCACCTCACAGTAAGAAGGTCACTGGTTCAAGTCCTGGCTGGGCCAGTTCGCATTTCTGTGTGGAGTTTGCATGTTCTCCCCTTGTTCGCATGGGTTTCCTCTGGGTTCTCCGGTTTCCGGTCTTAAAATGTCTTAAATTTTAAAAACCTCAAAGTCCTAAATCCACTTTTATTTATTAACTCTATTTACTTATTATTATGGTTTAATTATCTTCCTTACAATAGCATGTGTTTTTGAAGTTTTTTTTTTTTTTTTAAGTTTTAACTTGGCCATTAAAAAAAATCTTTAGAGTTTAAACTTGTGTAAGTCTGAAGTTTCATTCAGTATTGTCATAAATGGTCTTAAAACGGTATTAAAAAGTCCTAAATTTGACTTGATGAAATCTGTAGAAACCATGTAAAATGAAATGAATTTAAAATATTAAGTGAACAAACTGAAGCAAAATGGAACATAATTAAAAAGTACAAAAAATTAGAATAATATGAAAGCCATGAAAGTGAATTGTAATAAACTAAAATTTGGATCAAAATACATTAATATGTAATTATGTAATATTACTATCTTTATGCATCTAAAAAGATTTAAAAAGGTTAAACAACTATTTAAAATATTCATTAAAATAAAGCTAAAATTAAACAATTATTAGGTTATTTATTTATTAATTTTTTAAATAAAACCGAAACTTCCCTAAATATTCAGTTCTATTCATCTTATTTATATAGTGCTTTTGAAATGTAGATTGTGTTAAAGCAGCTTAACATAGAAGTTTATAGTAAATTGAAACTGTGTCAGTCCAGTTTTCAGAGTTTAATTTTAGTTCAGTTTAGTTCAGTGTGAGTTAATTTTCACTGCTGAGAGTCCAAACACTGAAGAGCAAATCCATCGTTGGGCAGCTTCACAAATCCCAAACCATGCAAGTCAGATGCGACAGCGGCCAGAAACAAACTTCACTCATTTGCGAAGGTGAAGGGGAAAAAAAACTCAAAACTCAAAAAAGATTAAACTGCTAAGAAATATGAATTAAAATAAAGCTAGAATGAAACAATTATTAGTAGGTGATTTAGGTATTTAAATAAATCTGAAACTTTCCTAAATAATAAATAAAAGTAGCTTTTAAGCATCTAAAAAAAATAAAAGGGTTAAAAACACTATTTAAAATATTCATCAAAATAAAGCTAAGATAAAACAATTATTAGGTGATTTATTTATTTATTTAAATAAAACTGAAACCTCCCTAATAATAAGTCAATCAATCAATAAATAAAATTATTATTTTTATTCATCTAAAAAGATTTAAAAGGTTAAAAACAAAAACTATTTAAAATAATTAACAAAGTAAAGTAAAATGAAACCATCATTAGGTGTTTTTATTTATTTATTTATTAAAACTGAAACTTCCCTCATAAATAAATAATTAAAATAACAAATTTTAAGCATCTAAAATGGGTAAACTATTTAAAATATTCATTAAAATAAAGCCAAAACAAAATATTTATTAGGTGATTGTATGCATTTAAATTAAACTGAAACATCCTTAAATGATAAATAAATATTATATTATAACTATGTTTAAGCATAAAAGAATAAAGTGGTAAAAAAACTATTTAAAATTTTAATTAAAATTAAGCTAAAATAAAACAATTATTAAGAGATTTATTTATTTATTTAAATAAAACTGAAACTTCCCTAAATAGATAAATTTAAAAAAATATTAATTAAACTTATTCAAAATAATAAAAATGTATTGTTTAGTGTATAATTACTATTAAAACAATTTTTCTCTGTACTCAGAAAACTTTGTTGGAGTTACTTCGAATGAATAATTTTAAACAATATTTATTATCTCGTAGTTCAGTCACAAACTACAATCTTGACTCTAGTCTGACCTTTTTGCACTTCCTTTTTTAAATATCAAACATGTTTTAATCACAGTGTATTCAACGCCGAACATCTTCCAAACTCACTTCATTCGCTGCTTTAACGTTCCAGTTACAGACTCCCGGCTCTGTTTAATCTGCAAACATCTGGAGTCAGGTAACAGCAAGGCTTCGTCAATGTAACCTGTACCATCGTACCAAGATATCGTGTCTGTTACCGGGCCAACAGCAGACAGTGCTGTGAAATATTCATAGCCTCCTGAATGAACTATCAGGCTGTGTGTGTGTGTGTGCGTGTGTGTGTGTTCACTGGTCTGTTTGCGCTCGGCCTGTGGTTTCATGTGAGACCTCTATATTTGTTTTCCACGAGAGGTGGGTGTACTTATCCAAAGCTCTGGCTGCGTCTCAAAGCTAGCGAACTGCCTACCTGAATGCTG